GGAGGGAGGGAGGGAGGGAGGGAGGGGGAACACCATATAGGAAATACAGTGGTCTCTTGGTATCTACAGACAATTGGTTCCAAGATCCACTACGGATGTCAAAATCCAGGGAAATTCAAATCTCTTATTTGTAAAATGATTCACCATTTGCACAATATATGTACATCCCACCATAGATTCCAAACAACCTCCAGATCTCTTGTTAGATTACAGGTCAGAGGCTACCCCTCCCCCCTCAGGCTGTTCTCCACCTCCACCACCACTGCCCCACCCCTCCCACCCCCACCCTTGGGAGTTCTCTTTCTGGGACAGAAAGTGGTAAAACCGTGACCTATGACCTCACGGCTTTTGTACGGAACTCATTTCTCTCCCTTCCACTGCAGCTGTGAGCAAGTCCAGCTCCCTGGTCTCTGGACCAAGGGCAACCTCGAATGTCTTCTGATGCCTGGCATGTAGACCACGCCAGGGTAGGTTGTGGTTTGGAGAGCTTGCCTTTGTGCCCACACTGAAATCCTGTAAGACTCAGAAGCCCCCATTGTCCTTAGGTATTGGGGGGCTTTCCTTCAGGACTTTTATGCTACATGCAGTGGATGTAACCTCCTCAAGGCTCTCTCTTCATGACCTTATCCTTCTGCCTCTGGACCAATGTGCTTTCTGTCTCTCTGCCTCTGTGTCTCTCTGTCTTTATCTCTCTGTCTCTCTGTCTCTCTCTCTCTCTCTCTCTCTCTCTCTCTCTCTCTCTCTCTCTCTCTCTCTCTGTACTCTGTTCTCCTTTCTGGTCATGGCTACCTGTGCTCCCGAGGCTCTCTCTTCTAACAAAAGCGAATCCTACTTTGATTTCCCTTGTCTACATACCTGCTGTTCTCCCTAACATTTATAGCACTGTGGACATAGTTGTTCCCCTGCTCAGTCTGAGGGATAATGGCAAGACGACCCTATGCGTTCTTAGTACAGATGGCTTTTTCTGAAGTCACAACTGATCATGAAGGATCCTGTCACGGGCAGCTCCACCTTGAAACTGTTGTCTCAGGAGCTCTGTGGCTGGGGAAAATATCAGTCTCTCATGCCAAGAAGACAACTCAGCAGCTCTTGCTGTCTCCCCTAGAAACCCTCCTGGAGACCTCACCCTACCTTTGGGAGCCCAGAAGAACTTGGAAGGTTCGCTGTCTCTTCAAGGCCTCTGGGTTTGGGTGCTATCTGACCGGCAGCAGAAGAAATCACAGGGAACCTTCAGTTCTATGGACAGTGGGGAGTGGACACTGCCACCCACACAGTGTCTCCAAGTCTGTCTCAATGATCACCAGATTCGGGCACAGAGGGGAGGCTCACAGGGAACACAATCATCCCGATACTTCTGTGAAATTCCACAAGCTCAGAGTCAAGCTGGAGAAGAGGAAGATGGTCTCTCCCTGCAGGCAAGCTCTCCTGGGGAAGAACATCAAGGCAGGATGCCCGCCTGTCTAAAATGGCTCCCAGGTGAGGCACCTCTCCAGCAGCCACGAGGTTAAAAAAAAAAAAAAAGTGCATTTATTGCCCCCTTGTGGTCACAAGCATGCAATGTTAGGAAACTTGAAAGTTTCCAGAAGGAAGATTCCTTCGACATGGTTTGTAGGGTCTGGAAAGATTTTATTCCTGGACAGCAACTCTGTAACTCAGAACTCCACATGGATCTCAGCCCAGAAAGAAACTGAGAGGGGCAAGCCCACAGCACTCCAGGAGTGTCACAGATTTCCCCAAAACAGGACTGCTAAATGGTCTTTCCCACCCATGACCTTCCCTGACAGGGAAGTCCTACCAGTCCAGAGCCAATGGTGACTTACACAATCATACTGGGTAACACCTTCATCTCTGACTTCCTGGACAGTGATCCAAACACAGTCCTAGTGATAGCCATTGCCCAGAAAACCATTGTGCCAGGCAGAGAGACCAGTCCCAGCCACTCGTAGCAAGAATGGCACACAGTCTAGTCAGAACTGGGTCTCCAGAGGAATACTCAGGCAGGAACTTGCCTAACTTCAATATTGGTCAAGCACCCTACAGTGCCTGGGAAGCCCAGAAATTGGGAAAAAGATGCCTGACACTGCTGGCAGGGGAGCTATTGCTGCCAGGACTCATGGTAGTGGGACAGAGGGGTCCAGGCAAGCATGGCCTTCTTATGGCCTTACTTTGTGGCTTGGTGGCATGTCCCCATGATTAATAGACTTGAGTGCAGAGGCCAGTCCTAGCCTGGGCCAGTCCTAGCCTGGGATTTGTAGCAACGGAAGTACACAGACTTCCTCAATGTGATGGGAAGTGTCTGAGAGGGGTCTCCACCCAGAGCCTCAGGACCTTCTCTGGTCTGTATGGAGACCTCTGCAGACCTCCTTCAGTCCAGTCTACCTTCTGATTTAGCTTCTCTCCCATTGTTAGTTCCCAGAGACAGTTGGGCTGTAGACACAGACTACACAACTCCCACGCCCAACATATTCCTTTGTTCGTTTACACCTTCAGAGGAGAAGACAGCAAGTGTGTATCAGGAGAAATGAGACAAGCTGTCTGCAGAGAACAGCAGTGAGCCCAGGTAAGGCACTCTGGGAGGCACTGAAATGTGGGTCTCTCTTCCCCTTCCCAGAGAGAGTCAGATGCTCTACTCCAGGAGCACTCAGGCTCTCCCTCTCCCTCTCTCCCTGCCCCCTCCCCTTCTCTCTTTCTCCCCCCTCCCCTCCCCTCCTCCATCTCTCCCTTTTTTTCTATCTCCCCCTTTTTTCTCTCTCCCTCTTTTCTCTCCCCCCTTCACCTTCTTCCTCTATTCCCCCCTCTCCTCTCTCTCCCTCTTTCCCCTTCTTTCTCCTTCTTCCTCCTTCTCTCTCCCTCTCCTTCTTTCTCTCTCCCTTTCTTTTCTTGATGTTTTAGATAAAT